AACAAACAAACAAAAAACAACTCCACAACAAAAAAAAAAAAAAAAAAAAAAAAAAAAGAATTCCATGGTTTTTATTTCCGATACCTCTGTTGGTTTTTGATTAGTGAAACCCAATACCTTTTGCTGAGTATTTCTGAGGCAACAGAACTTTAATTTTCCTATGGGCTTTTTGTATGAACAACTCTCCTTATGTTTGAATTAACTTGTTTGAAAATATTTGTGGAAGAAAATGAATATGCAGAAATATACTTTTTGGTGACTTGGTAATGGACAGTTTATTCATGCACAATGAAAAATGGAGTAAGAGCCTTGCACACGTGTGCCCTGGGTGCGAGGGAGTGTGTCAGGCTGTGTACAAGGCCTTCATCGGTGTCCTTATTTCATGTCTTCTGACAAGTGTATTTGGGCCATCGGAGACCTTCTGAAGATGACCCTAATTCTGTATTAAGTTTAAGGTGAATTTGGGGTAAATTTTGGTAAAGGATAATTTGGAAGCACATGGAAGGTGAGGATCAACTCCCCGGAATATACTATGATACGTGTCCTTTCTACAGAGAGTGAATGATCATTTAGATTCATGTATTTATGTCTTACTCCTCAGTAGAAAAGGAATGATAAGAGATAACCAATCCTTTGGGAGAGAAACTGCTGGAGAGCTATGCAGTTCATATTACTGAGGGGCTTGCATGACCTGGGATGTGTTTTATATTTTAAATGGATGGCAATGGGGAGAAATGATGCAATGCAATTTGCATTTGATAAGAACCTAGATGATGGCAATATGAGTCCAGGATATGAATGGGTCTAGACTGACAGTAGAGCATTCAGTCAGGATACTCCTGTAACCTTCCGGGCAGAGGTGAAAATGACCAGTAGTAAGGCAGTGGCAGGGGAACAGACATAATGACCTGCAAGTATGGCATACACTAAGGGAGGGAGGAGAGGTAGACACCAAGATTGCCGGGTGGTATTGGATGGAGCCTGAGGTTGTGAATATAGGAAAGAAGTGTCAGGGCAGAGATGCAGGTTAGGAGGCAGTTTGGTGTGATGGTGCCTTCCATTCTGATTATGTTGAAATGAGACATTTGAATATCAGCATCCTGGAGAGAGATACCTCATATGCCATTGTTACTATGGAGCTATACATGCAGGTGAGAGAATTGGGTGAAAAACTTTCTTTTTTTAAAGATTTATTTATTTATACAAGCACTGGGGTACAGGCCAGAGGCGCGGGAAGGTAAGAGAAGTCACCAGAGACAGAGCAGGGAGCAGAACAGGCAGAAGGACTGAAGTACACTGCTGAGGGGAGCAGCGGGCGAGACAGGAGAGGTCTGCCACTTCTCCATGTGGGAATCTCCCTGGCCGGCTGGGAATCAAACTGGCACTGCAGAGGCCGTGGACAGCTTCACAGCGTTGTGCTCACCTGCATCACTGGGGAGGTCCTGGGCAAAGAAACTTTCTCCCAACATTTGAATGAAAAACTATTGCTGACTTCCAAATTGCTTCTTCTGTTAAATCCTTTATTTTAGAATAGTATCATTTAAAGGATATTTTAAAATATAAGCTTGACATTTCAGCACTAATTAACCGAGATGCTCTGATTCTCTCCTGGATAAAATCCTGCTGTCCTGCTGCTTTTGTAGGATGGTTTGTAGATGGCTGTTTTGCTTTCTAACAATAAGCTTTAGGGGAAGTAGTATATTCTCAACTCCTGTGTTCTCTTTCAGCCTGACTTTGGTTCTTTTGGTGCATAAGTGCAGGCTGTGATTGTTTAGCTTGTTTCATATCCTCCCCCTATACCTAGCTCCATACCCACCTTGTGTTTGGGGGCAAATACCTGAATCATGGAAGCTCTACCTGCTGGTTCAGAGACAGGAACTATAACACACACGCACACACAAAAAGCAGCTTTATTCACATATAATTCACATATCATGTGATTCATACATTTAAAGTGTACAATTCAAATGTTTTAATATGTTTAGTACATATCTCTAGTATATAGTTGTGCAACCATGACCATAATCAAATTAGAATATTTCATTACCTCTGAAAGAAACCTGTACCCTTAAGATACCAACTCCCCATTGCCAGCTCTCCAATCCCACACCCCTAAACAACCACCTATTTACTGTCCGTGTCTACATATTTTCCTTCTAACTTAATGTTCTTGTTTATATCATTCAGTTACTATCTCTTCCTATTTGCCATGATACAGGTATTTGGATGTTGTTAGCTTATCCAGAGGGAGGCAGTGTAGGTTCTTAGTAGAGAACTGCAGGGGGAAAAAAACACTAAGCAGAGCTCACAAAAACACTGAGATAAACACAACTCAGTGAGACAGAATCTAGGTCTTTAAATCTTGCTAAAATGAAGGACTGAGGAGGCAGATGAAGTAAAAGAAGAAACAAATACTCTAAAATACCTCATTTAAAAAACCAAAGGATCCAGGCAATTGCAGAGAAAGGTGAAAATGCAGTGTCCCCTGCCTATTGGTTTGTACAGATACTGATCTTGAGGACGTCTGGGTTCTATTTCTGGCTGTGCCCTTTGACCCAGTCATTGAATCATTTTGGATTATTGTGCTCATTTCTTAATAGTACTCTGACTCCCCAATTGATGTTTCTAATGATATTCAAGCTGCTTTGGAAATTGCGTCTAGAGTATGTGCCCATACATAGAAATTCAAAATTCTGTAGCTTTTTATATCATACAATTATGTCTTATGTTTCTTACTCATAAAATTAAAACAGCATTATGGCAAATAAAATGAGATCATGAAGATGCTGTCTAAGGGGAAATGTGGTAATTTGGAATGTTCTGCAGTCAATTACAGACCTTTTTTATTTTTATTAACTTTGCTGTTTAATTAGTGGAGTCCCAACCTCACATTAGAAATTCAATTTCTAATGACTTTTCTCCCAGGCAGGCATCTGGGAGCCCTGGAAAGACTCTGCTCTTAGGGTATCTTAGATGAAGCCACGCACACCCTGCAGGTGTTTTGTTTTGTGTTGTGCCGTTTTGTTTTAGAAGATCTTGTTCTGAGAGCTGTCTGGAGGTGATTTATTAGCAGTTAATGTATGGGCTGATATCATCAGAGTCAGGGACCCTATGCTCTGCTGGGGATTTATCACAGGTCCCCTTCACTCAGCCCACAGAGCCCAGGCAGAGCTGCATTTTCGTCCGCTAGTGAACACCTCCCTCTTTAGAGCAAGAGAGTGAATGTCACTCGATCTCTTAATATAAACCAGCTACCTCCGTGATGTGTTGAATCCCTGTTCCCAGGGGATGTCTGCTTTGTATCTGCAGCTTTAATGTTTCACTTAATACCGTTTTTTGGCTACTGAGCGCTCTCTCCAGCAGCAGGCAGCATTCAGCTGCTCAACAACTTGCTTTATTTTCTGACCATGCCGGGCTGAGCAAGTACAGGCTGTGAGCTTCTGCTCGGGGGCTTTCTGTGTGGCGTTTGTATGTGGTTTTTTTTTTTTTTTTCCAATTGAGAAGAAGTTGAAGCAATATCAGCTTCCTTTTCCCTAGCACCTAAGCCCCTGTGTCTTTCAAATGCGTTCCTGGAAAGGAGCATGCTCAGAGAACTGGCAAATCATTGTCCAGTGACCGGGAGGAAATGATCATTGCTCTTCATTTATAATGCAAATTCTGAGGTGTCTCCAGAAGTGTGGTAAACTTAAAATGATGGCTGTGGTGAGAACATCTCTGCAGAAAGTTGTGGTTTTGTTGCATCGTTTACAAAGGATGGCAGTTTCTTCTCCTCGATATCAGAAGCTCTGTAAGGTAACTGAGTGATTGAAAATAAGAATCTTGGGTGTCTGACCATTCTACTGTTTCTCAGGTTCTGAAAACTAAATTTTCAGCATTCTTATCAAGGAAAGCTGCCTTTTCTAAGTAACTGATTTTAAAAGCTGCTACCGGGAATTGCTTAATTCAGTTTTGTTTAAGAATCTGAAACAAGTACTGTGTTAGTGCATATTTTTGTTTGGCATTTGACAAAATCTTGTCTTCTGAGAAGGGCTGGTGAACTGGAGAAAATATGGCAAAACTACATTCATTAAGACCTGTTACCTCAGTAATATTTCCCATGGTGTTATTATTGAATGGACATTAATCTGTGTATATTTCAGTAAATTTAAAAGAATTTGAAATGTTTTTCAGGTTTCTTAGAAACTGCCCCTTTATAGATAATTTAAAAATGAAAACACATTTTAGAAACTGCTAGATTTAATCTCATCATAAAATGTCCCCTTATAGTCTTGAATGCCCATATATTATAATCGAACCTGAAAAACTTAATTTTCTTTGGGCAGGTGGATTAAGCGCACTTGCAGGAGACAACTTGTTTGACAGTTGTAAATTTCAAATACTACGTCATTCTAAACAAACAATTGAATGAGTTCTTGCATTTTCTTTCAGAAAGTTAGCTATTACATATTTTGATTATGGCTTTGTTTTATTTAAACTATGTTCACACTATTTCATTACTTCTGTCAAAAATTGTAGTGATTGGATACAAAAGGAAAGAATGTTGAAGCAATTTCTACAGCTCCCAGCATCGTATTCTTTTTATCATATTTTTCCTATGATTGCCAAGGGTATATCTTGTCCTGTTAGCTGTCCAGACTCCTTTGTAACTGGAATCACTGTGTTCAGGGCAATATTATTTTCCTGATGATATAAAATATGACATGTTCAAGCACCTACACTCTGTATATTGGATGGCAACAGATTATGGGGGGAGGAGAAGCAGTATTCTGTTAACTTTCTCATTCTATTTTTATTTCTTACAGTTTCATCAATTCAATATATTTATGTCTGGAAATTGTTTTTTGAAAAGTTTTAGGTGAAAATTAAGATAATGGGGCATTCCTTGACGAAATACTTTTTATTTGCATAAAAATACTTTTGCACAAAAATACTTTTTATTTGCATAAAAAGAAATACTTTTTATTTGCATAAAAATTGAAAGTTAATTCAACTTTATAATTAAGTCAGAGATAAAAATTGGTAAATTATTTTCAGTGTGTTGAATTTTGGCCTACTTCAGGGAATAAATTTACTCTGGTAAAATATTTATGTATTTCATGAGTAGGCAATTCTGATAATAGGTAAGTAAAAGTCATTCACTCATGCATTTTTTTTCTTTGTAAATACAAGTATGAATTTACAAAGCTTTTTTTAAAATTTAATCTGGGTCATTTTTCTGATCCATCTGAATGTATACTTTCACAAAGGCAGGTGTTTTTCTCAAGTCATGTGATCTCGGTACTAAGTAGACATATGAAGCAGTAGAATTTCAAATACTGGAGAAAGTTGCTTAATTAGTTTCATAATTATATGCTAAGGAAGCTTTACTTAGTTCAGGTACTAAAGCCATTGGGTATGTTAATATTCATAAGAATATTGTTTGGACAGATTTGTGAGATTTATAATTTCCTAAAGAAACTTTTAAAACTGAAATGGTTAGAATAAATGTTAGTTTTTATTTTAGAAAATTAAAAATTGTATTATTTGTAGTTATCTTCCACATTTCTTTTCTTAGATGTAGAATTAGTAACTGCCCAGAGAATAAAATGAAAAATATACAATTCCAGTACTTTCCAGTAGGTGTCAATATAAGGCAATGATATATGATATTATGTCTAAAGAACTAGATTTCCAGAATAGGAAGTGACAAAATCACTATGAATAAATCAACTAGGAACAGATATAATTTATTTGCTTGGCTACATTTTGAAAACTGATTATTTATTGAACCATATTAATGCATAAGATATAATTAAAAGTTTTAGTTGCAGAATTTTTGATTAACCATTTTCATCTCAAATACTAAGTTGGGTATGTGTATCAACTGAAAATAATTATATTTTAATTATCAGTGATGTAAGTGTAGTACTTAATGGTTTAGATGTTTAGTATTTATTTGCTTTAAGATACTATAAATTCTCTTTTTCTTAAATTATAAATGCTATAATGACTGTCTCTCTATACCTCCTACGTTCTCTAAATTTAGTTTCTTAGAAAGGAAATGCTGTTTCAGTATTCATAAAAATATAGAGACAGTTTATTGTAAAACATTTACAGACTGACATGAATGAGAAAAAATGTTGCATAATCTAAGGGAGATGTGACTATTTACGTTTTATATTGGCATGTTGAAATCAGTGTCTATTAATATGTTTGCCCCCTTTTTATTTCTCTTTGGGATCTCTGTATATGTCATGTGGAAATTTAGCTCTTTATCAGGCTTTTTTCTTCCGTGTGTACCTCATCTTTTTTGCTTATTTTCATACTTCTCTAGAGTGTCAGAAAATATTTCATGTGTTACTCAATTCAAATATTGTGTTGAATATTCTCGGTTAGTGGTTTTTCCTGTACATCTTGAAGAGGGAAAGAGGAAAGAAAAGAGGCACTGGGAACTCTCAGTTCTGAGTTAAAATATGGTTTCCCTCTTTCAACTTCCCTGTTACTTGTTTTTGTTTTTTTTTTCTGCCTTTAAAAATATTTCTTTCTGGTTATATATCCCATAAAATTTGTGCAGGAAACTAAAACAAGTGCTGCTTACTTGGAGATATAATTAGCAGCATTGAAATTGCCCCAATGACCTAAAATCACCTTATGCTAGATGCTTAATTTTCCCCGATTTGGTTTTGATTACTTGAAAATATTAATGATTATAAAACAAATTTTCTTCCATGAGAGCATAGTAAAAACAAACCGAATGAAACAAGTCAACTTTAATTTGTTTCACTGTTTTGTAATTATTTTGGAATATTTTATCACTAAATCTTTTGCATTATAATTGAGATTTTGTTGAGTCAGAAAGGAATTTTGTAAGTCATGCTACCAAATTAGTGCCCATTTTCACAAAATATTTATTGATGGCATGGTAAAAGCAACTTTTTGTGAAGTTTATTGTGATGTAAGCTAGAACTGAAAAAAGATAAAAATATAAAATTGCTATTATAAATTAATTTCCCATGCCTTAAAACAGCTAAAAATTATATTTACCTGCTTAAACATATGTATATATGTTGAAATCACTTTAGCTTACATCACTTTAGCCATCTCCAAACTTTTTAGTCATTGCAGTAAAAATATTTTAATACATTCATTTAAAAATTGAACTCATATGCCATGGTAAAATCACATTTTAATATTACTAGAGTGTACTTTTGTTCCTGCTTTCTAGTAGTCTCTTCTTGTACCTATTGATTATCTTTCTTTCTGTGTGTGGTGTGCACACATCATTCTGTGTGTGGTGTGTACACACCACTCATTCATATACACAGTGAACCTGAGGCTAATCATTTAAGCAGTCTTCTAGAGCTTTCAGACCTTTATGATGGTGCTGATCTCAAAGTCAGCCTTGAAAAACCATGTCCTCTAAGGTGGTGGAGTAGCCACCTCTGTGTACTCTGAAAAATAGAGACTCCATCTCATTCATCGTCTGAATTGATAGGTAATAGCTGCGGAAGGCTTGCTGTGTGCGTGTGTGTACGTATGTTTGTTCACATGTAGACAACTCAGAGCTCCATCTTGGCTTATGGTGCCATGGGATAAGAGTCTATGACCACAGAATAGAAGGGCATGTATTTGAGTGATTCATAGCCCAGATAAATTTTATATTTTATATTCCTAAATACTCCCCCACTTGTTTATTAGTGGAAAACTCTGTTTTTGAATAATTAGATTCCCAAGTGTTCTAGGGTAACAGAGTTTTAATTTGTCATCATCTGAAAGCTGAGATGCACATATAGGAAGGTCACCTCCCAGAGACCCTCAGTTTCTCTCAATAATCAAGTCACACAATTATTGAGCCACAGGATAGGACAGTGATCATCTCTAACCTTGGGGTGGGACTCCAGTTGATCACAAGAAATGATTTCTTGCTGTCTTTTTGAGAAATTGTTGTTTTGGTTAGCTCAGAAAGTTTGAAGTCTGAGGTCTAGGTGAAAAATATAAAATATGGAGATATTTGTGTGCTACCTCATAGACACCTTGGCAGTTGAGTTCCTTTTCTCCCGCTCTGTCTGCTCTCCCTCAGCAGGTAGAGATTACAGATAAAAGTGAGGTGGGTACAGAGGTAATACGTACTTCCTTAACTATCATTAGGTGTCTTCTGGTAGTTTCCAAAAGCAGCAGCACTAGTTCATAAGACTTCCTGATTGCTGTTTTGCTATAACTCCCCAAGTGTATGTCAAAATAATTTTATAAAGTTACCTAATTAACATTTTTAAACCTGAAAACTTCATGTTATCATTGACATTTAGCTAAGAGCATTATAATTAGATATGATGCAATGCTCCATCAGTTATCTAAGAAATAGTTAATACCATTTTATAAGATGGCATTTTGAATAGTTCTTTAACAGCCAGGATAGCATTTGTATAAGCCTAGGCCTGTGATCTGTGAATCAGAGACAAGGAGTGGAAAGTCATTCCATGGGGTTGGAGTATAGCATCATGGGTAGAATAAAAATTATCCTGTATTTTTAGAATATTATCTGGTAATTGTGACTAATGTGTTGTTCATTTCTGTTTACATAGGGGTAAAGTTTATTAAATTTCAAGAGGAAATTTCCAAACTAAATGCACTGCTAGATTTTAAACATACAGACATTCTCTACTTCTTATTAGTGACTGTGAGCACTGCCAGCTTCTCTTAGCATATTTGGTAGTTTATTTTTAGTTCTCTAAAACAAGCAATTAGTAGAACTCCTACCACAGAGATAGAAGAATATAGAAAATTTCATGCTATGTTAGCTTTCTCAGTTTCAC